AATACAATAAATATATTTTAGTTGAACAGAGCCCACAGAGAATCCGTCTGTTTTAAAATTGCAAATCAAAGTATGTATTATAGAAGAAAACAAAAGCCATCTATTTATTCAAATGGTTTATTAATAACATGTATTATAATGGTTCATTACTATCCCAATAGTTATTAAATATCACATGAAAAAAAATGGTTACATTATATAAATTGCATCAGAAATTACCACAGATAAAAATACTTGAATAAGTAAGAAAACATTTGTGGTAAAATTCTCTGTGTGTATGGTAGCGAAACATCTGAAGGTAAATATATCATGCTAAGCAGTGGATACAGATTTAGAAAGTTAATGAAACACAGCAATGTTTTCTTTTCACAGTGTGATTCTGGTATTTTTCTTCTATATGACAGCACTACAGCATGAATGTGACAAACAGAGCACAAAAGCAGTTTCTTGGCCAATATCCCAGGAACAAAATTAGCCAAGTACAGGACAGGACACAAACTCCTTTCACAGTAAATACTATACAAAACAATATCGTATACTTAGATAGCAAATAATATGGGTTTATAAAATTCAATTTTAACATTACTTACAAATACGCGTTCCACCTCGCATACATAAACTCTATAATTTGAGCTGCAGAGTAATTTTTAGTGCTCTGTGACCCAAGTTCATGAGTGACTGCCGAGAATCTCATCCAAATTTATGTCTTTCATCCAGTCGTCATTCCCAGAACCAGACTTGAGCAGAGAGTCTATGAAGTCTGAGTCTGTGTTGATCCCGGGAACCGTGTTGTCTCCCTCCGGCAGGAAGTCAAAGGTCAGATGGCTGGCTCTGTTATTCTGGTAGCTGCTGGAGTTGGGACTAGGCTCTGCAAAGTTGCCTGCAGGTACCCTCTGTTCAGGAGAGGCCTGGCTCAGGTTTCCCACTGCTGATGGAGAGCCCATCATTGGCTGGCTTGGCCTTGGTCCTGTGTCTCTTATCGAAGGGTTAATGGGGAGCATCCCCATGTCTGGTGGTATCTGGTTGGGAGGACCCATGTGCTTCTGTTGGTACGGATGGTTTGGCATGTCCAGCTGTGCACCCTGGGACTGTAGCGGGTTGGGTAGTCGCCTAACACTGAGTCCGGTTGCCACTTGCTTGTTTGCTGCACCCCAACTCATGTTAACATTTGTTATCAAGCCTCCAAGGGACTGTCCCGGCACCCCCGAGGAATGCAGCTCAGTTGCTGTTCTGGGGTGCTGCACACCAGCTACATTGCTCATCCCAAAGGAACTTCCTTGTGTGTTGGGCCCCAGAAACCTTAATTTACTTTGATTTAGTCCAATTCGATTCTGATTGTTATGTGTCTGGAACTGGCTGACACCAGAGTTCAGATGACAGTCAGCCCTGATACCAAATCTGCGGTCTGATGGTGAAGGACTCATCTTTGAACCAGACCCACTTGGGAGGTGACAAGACATGAATTGTAGGTTGTTCTCAGGGCCATTGCTGGAAGACTGGGAGGAATTCTGACCTAGAAAATGCAAGTACAAAAGGCTGCAATCATAGTCGCTTGTCAGCATATAAAGAATTTGTCTCATCAGAAAAGTACAGTACCTGTGAAGATGTT